GGAAGTTCCTGCCCAAAAACCACTCGAACGATTTTGTTCAAAATATGCATACATGCAGTAGATATAGTCATGTACTAAATATATAAAATTTACGAAAATTAATAACAGGAATATTTGGGGGTAGGTGTGTTGTACATCCTTAAGTCACCATTAAGCTCGGCTTAAAGGTGGCTTAATGGTAGCTTAATGAAGTTTGGACATTAAGCACCTGTAAGTTGCAGCTTAATGGTGGCTTAATGGAGTTAACTTCTTTAAGCACCGTTAAGTCACCATTAAGCCACCATTAAGCAATTGCTTAAAGGTGGTTTTTCGTTTTGTGCAAATTATTTTTATAACACAACCCCCCCCCCCCCCCCCCCCACGGTAGAACAAACAGACTTGCAATGAACATTTTCAAGTGAGAAATTAAAAATTTATATTCAGGAATTTGGAAAGGGGATAACTCCGCCCCACCTCTGATTCTATGTTACTGAATGTTATGTGCATTTTTTCCACTCAAGTAGGAGAGATATTTTTACTATACTGTTTTGAAAAAAAAAGATTGGGTGATTAAATGAGTCTGCTTTGTATTTGTTCTCATGAGCAAATAACTAAAGCTACAAACACCTACATGAAATAATATTACATGTATTAGCTTTATGTGAATATATATAAATGGTTATATTGATAAATTGTTTAAAGATATATTATAGTTAACATTAGTTAGCTATGGAATACTTTTCTTACAAAGATTTTACTACAGTAAATAAAAGCTTTTACTTATTAAATCAAAGTATTTTTACAATGAATTTCGTTTTTTAAAGTTTGTTTTTCTTCAAATTTTACTTCATGATTCTAGGGGTTGATATTAAATGGAAGTACTACTGGTGTATTCAAAATATTATTTTATAGATTAACATCATTGGTATATGTCTTAGATCTTAAGGACCTAAATCTGAAGACAGACACTGCATATATATTTATACAGTGCAATTTATCAGAGGGAAATAAATCTTAAAACAACTACGGAAATAGCAGTCAATCATTATCACGCCATGAGAACTTTCATAGTTATTTTACACAATATATCCAAAAGTAAAGCCCTCACACATGTACTATCATATCATAATTTACTTCGCCATGAATAAAGCATACTTTAAATGTTGGTGGGGGTATACTTGAAAGTTTTGTGGCAAAGTAACAGTTGAAAATTAGTAGAATTGTACATTATTTTAAGCTTATTTTTAATCCCTCCTTATAGAAAAATAAACGTAGGGTAGTTTCTTTGTTTTTTTTTTTGTTGTTGCTTTTCTTGATAATCGACTTCCTCCTAAATAAGTATGGGGTTGGGTGGGTATAACACCTAAAATATGCTCTGTAAAGCTATGGGCTAGTGTAAAATACACATTCTAATGCAAATACTATACATGTAGACATAACCTTTTGATTAAGCGCACAGTATTCATTACATTTCTTAATTCTTGTTTTACTCCACCCTTTAACTCATTTCTGAGTATATTTTTCAGAGAATTTAATATGAAAATCAGAACAAACATTTTCATTTTTGCTACATCTTCTCTATACTGTATCATTATATGAAAAGTAAATTGAAGACCTTTTTTTATGTCCCTGTAATCGAAGATTTGGGGTATATAGTTTTATCGTGTCCGTCTGTATGTCTGTCTGTCTATCTGGCAGTCTGTTTGTCCGCAAAAACTTTAACCTTGACCATAACTTTTCATTTATTGGAGCTATGACTTTTGTATTTATTATGTGTATTCCTTGTGACAAGACCTTACTTTGGGTACCACCAAATCTGATCTTTTGACCTTTACCTTGGAGTTTGTCCCATTTTACACAAAAATGCCGAAATTTTACTTTGGCCATAACTTTTAAACTTTAGATGCTAGTATTCTCATACTTCACATATGTTTTTTTTTGGCATGACCTTTCATTGGATACTAAAAACTTTGACCTTTTGACCTTGGAAATTTCCGTATTTATGAAAAAAATTTAAAGGTACTTGGACACAGATTTGAAGTTGATATTTTCTCTATAATATTACGACTTATATATTTTAATAGCATTTCACACAAAAATTAATCAAAAATCTTATTTTATTTGAAAGTTATTAAAATTTTAAATTTTTTGGCGGGTTTGATTGACACATCCTTGAACTTTCACAAATTAATTCTATTCTTAATCCTTAGGAAAAGTGGCAATCTCGTTTTGTATAAATGAAAAATATTAATACTATAATCCAGAAAATTCAGAGTAGACATGTTCGAAATCAAAACAAACACACATTGAACGCACCCCGTGAATTATAAACATAAACAATAACAGAACTCGTGCCCTGTTTACAAAAAACTGTGTACATAACACGAGTGTGCTCGATTTTCTCAACTCTGTACGCCACTCTTAGTTCGGAATGACGATACTTGTGAGGGAGTTTTGCTTTTTAACATTTCTACTCTGAATAAAATTATTTTTCTGGACAAACTTTTAGTACACAACAAGATTGCCACTTTTCTTAAGGATGAAGAATAAGGTTAAAATTTGTGAAAGTGCAAGGATGTGTTAATCAAACCCGCCAAAAATTTGAAGTTTTGATAACTTTTAAATGAAAATAAGATTTTAAATTAATTTTTGTGTGAAATGCTATTAAAATATATAAGTCGTAATATTATAGAGAAGATATTGACTTCAAATCTGTGTCCAAGTACCTTTAACCTTGGCCAAAACTTTTGAACGGTAAGGGCTAGGGTTTTCATACTGCACATATGTAATCTTTGTTACATTAAAACTTTCTTAAGAAACCATCAACTTTGACCCTTTGACCCTTGAGTTTGACCTACCTTTCAAACACTTATCCTAAGCCATTAATTTTTAACAAGTGGTGCTAGGGCTTTCCTATTTTGCAATTGTATTTCTTGTGAGAAGACCATACTTTGGGTACCAATATATTTAAATTGCATTTTAGAACAATTTAATCTTCGCTATGTTGCCACACAGGGGCAAAGCTGTTTCACAAACACATTTTTTTTTATATATAAGAGGAGTTGCTGATAAGAGATGGATACCCCAAAGCGCAACAGACGGACGGACATCCCGATCACTATATACCCTCCCGCTTTTCAAGCGGAGGATATATATAATACTACTGGTTTTTTTTTTTACCAGGGGTCATTTTTCGCCGTAGAATATTGACCGGGAGTCATTTTTCGCTGTCGAAAAATGACCCGCGGTCATTATTCGATGGGGTCATTATTCGTCTTTACACCGGCACCAATGCCTATGCTACACCAAATGTATGTATTTGCATAACTGGTGTAAATTTAATTTAAATAAAATGCATGCAAACTGGAAAAAATAAGTACAGTAAAACATTTTAGAGAGGAAGAATTTTCAAAGCATGGAAATATCAAAATCGCTCACTTTCAAATCCTGAAGTGACATCATCATCACTGAAGAGTTATCAAATAGATTTAATTATTTATCATAACTAAGATTTGCAAGAATATTGACCTAGCCTTACACATTTTTTCAAAGTGCGTTAATATGGTCGATTTTAACGCACTTTGAAAAGAAAATTAATTTTTTTTTTCAAAGTGCGTTGATGTGGTTCCAAATTTAATGCATTTTGAACAAATTTTTCAAAGTGCATAATTTTTCAAAGTGTGTTGTAACAGGGCTAGGAGGTGGATAAAATATACAGATTGGCTAATGTATGTGTTTAAGAATTAGGGATAGACCAATTCTGGAAAGTGTTAAATTTCTTTCCAAAAGTGCGTTTAATTCTTGCGCCGTAGATTGCACATTATTTGCATTGAATATATGATCAAAGTCTAATATACAAACCCATAAAGCTACAGTTTTACAGCTACGTTCTGAGTATCTCGTACGTACAATTTAGTATCTCATTCGTACGACTTATAATGTCGTATGTGCGACTTAGTATATCGTACGCACGACGAAGTATCTCGTACGTACGACTTAATATCTCGTTTGTACGACTTGGTATGTCGTACGTACGAATTTGTACATCTCGTTCGTACGACTTAGTATCTCGTACGTACGAGTTAATATAATGTCGTATGTACAACTTAGTATGTCGTACGTATGACTAAGTATGTCGAACCAACGACTTTGTATTCGTACGTACGACTTAGTATCTCGTAATTACGACTTAGTATCTCGTACGTTCAACTTACAATATTTTTTTTCAAGTGGCAGCAATACGCTTCCGTACGGATTAGACAGGTTTCACTGTGTAAGCTTTCTTAATTCAATTTCACTTGAATATTTTTGTCACTTTCCATCAACGAAAGAATAAACTTCATTTTAAATTAAGGGAATTCTACTTACGAGCTAAAGTCTTCAGCATGCAACATGACGCAGTGGTTAGAGCATCTTCTCTATATACGCGGAGTAAATTATAGATCCATACGATGCATATTTGAATACCATTGAAGGACGTGGAGACCGGTCCTTAGGATGACACCATAAAAATCGAGGTCCCGTGTCGCAGGAAACACTAGCATGAAAAAGTGGCGGCGTCTCCAAATGAGTGAAAAATTTCCTAGGGGGAAGTTATACAACAAAGAAAGAAACACAAACGTACAAACTTCAGCATGGAAAAAAAACAACAAAAAAAAAACAATGTAACTAAATAAATGTATGAATCTCAAAATAACATGTTCATAAAGAAATATATGCAGCTGTCAGTGCAAAGTAAACAAAGTAATGCAGGGCATGAAGTAATGCGGAATACCCCATGATCGACCGAAGCAAATCTTGTGCTGGCTTTTTTTAAGGGTACACGTACTGGATATGTTATCCTGAAATCATTTATTCAAAACGTTAATTGTTATCGAACTTAAATTACTTTTAGTTGATGTATCGACATCACAGCAATGATTTTATTTTTTTTACAAAGGACAAAAAACCAGCAACATGGAAATCATCACTAGAATGTGTGTTTCTTCGATATTAATTTTCTTATATGATTTTTGTTACAGAGCTCAGATGTATTTTACTCTGTTACTACTTTTTGGTTTTCCAAATATCAACGGACATGGTTGGTGGAAGAGCCCAGAAAATGGACCATTATGTTTAAATGGTACATGTGGAGAATTCGATACCACATGTGAATGTTCTTTTACCATAGAACATGGTTTAACAATGATGACTTCTCACCCTGACCCATTTTTAGTTTGGCCAAAAGGAGGAAATCTTTATAAATATGATGATAAAACAGCAGAACACCCACTGCCAGAGGAGGTAACGAAAGATGTTATAACGGCTGACGGATATGGATCGCGTCTCGTTATTCTTATCAACAGAAAATTTCCCGGTCCCCTTATAGAAGCGTATGAAAATCAAACGATGATTATACATGTTCGCAACCTGATGCACACAGACTCGACAACTGTCCATTGGCATGGTCAACATCAACGAGGAACTGTCCATTACGACGGCGTGGGATTTGTTACGCAATGCCCAATACCACCAGGACAAACATTTACGTACAAGTTTCAGACATACCCTCACGGTTCTTTCTTTTACCACGCCCATATTGGGGATCAGAGAAGCATGGGATTGTATGGGGGATTAGTTATTTACCCACGACAAAAGCTGTCCCAGCCACAGGAAGGTTTTTCGCTTCTTTTACAGGATTGGAATCACAGTGACGATCCTGAAGCAATTTACCAAAGGATGTTAAAGGGGGTTTATGATCTTTCAACACTTACCAAAATAAACACTACACAAGCAGTTGATGGCGCAAACTTTAGTCGATTTCATTTCCATTCGGGGATTTTTAATGGCAAAGGTCGCTTTTATTCAACATTGAATTCAAATAATGAAGCTCCTCTAGAAGAATTTGAAGTTGAATCTAATAAGCTCTATCGTTTTCGAGTAATAAGTGCAGCAACATTGTACCCTTTTCGTGTGTTTGTTGAAGGGCATCCAGAACTGATTCTGAAAGCGTCCGATGGATATGAAATCCAAGGAGGTTATGGTAATGAATCAAAAGAAATAGTGGTTGAGTCATTCATAATTCACCCTGGGGAACGATATGATTTCATATTGAAAACTAATCAAAGTCCAGGAACCTACTTGTTGGTTGCAGAAAGCATTGAGGTAATTCCAGCTTCTTTAAATAAATATCGAGCAGCTGAGGCTATCATCCATTATAAAAATTCATCTTTCACATACCCGACAAAAGCTTTGCCTAACCCTTGCTCAAAGGAAAAACCATGTACAATATTCAACTGTCCGTTCCGTTACTATCCTGCTGAATCAAACAGAGAATGTATCACGTATGACAGCGTTTTTGGAAATGAAACAACTTCGAATTTCGAAGACGTTACTGAAGTGTACGAAACTCTCTTTTTCAATTTTGCCTTTCCTGGAGAACCAGGAAATACCCCTGGGTCAATAAATGGACATCAGTTTGAAGTACCAGAATATCCTATTATTTCTGGTGTTAGTTATAGCTCTGTCTGTAACCCATCAAAGTGTACAGATGATTCTATCTGCACTTGTACATATACTACAGATCTCGTCAAAGAGAAAGTTTATCAGTTTGTGCTAACTAATATTGGAAATGGTCGTGGATGGTCACATCCAGTGCATCTTCATGGACACTATTTTTACGTATTGAAAATGGGCTTTGGTACTTACGATAATGTCACAGGAAAATTCATTTCAGAAACAGATGACATTGAATGTTTTGGTACAAAGGGTTATTGCAATTCAGCCTCGTGGAAAAATGATTCCTGGAATCTTAATGCTTCATCTATCACGGGTCTCCTAACAACATTTCCAGCAAAGAAGGACACAATTATTGTACCGACTGGTGGATATGTAGTGATTCGAATGAAAGCCGATAACCCCGGGGCATGGTTCTTTCACTGTCATATTGATCTTCACAATACTAATGGGATGGCTATGGTTTTATTGGAAGCTAAAGATGGCTATCCAGAGAAACCTGACAATTTCCAATCCTGTTGGCACGTTGGCATCAAAACAAACACAGGTAAGTGCAAAGAAAAGAAAGGAACTGCTCATTCATTATTTCTTAACAGTCTTGTGGATACACACACGCACACACCCTCACACAAGACATCAAGGGCTTTATATGTATCAAGACAGAGAAATACCGTTTGCATTTTTTTCTAGACACTTTTTTGTGGAGATAGAATCTATTTGTTATATAATTTTTTTTTCATCACGTTACACTATGTACGAGGGGTGATTTAAAAAAACTATCTATATTTATGTTGACAACGGATTTTCCTGTTATTTGAAGACACGGAGGGTGTGACTGGTCGGCAGGGAATGCTCACTCCTCCATGGCACCTGACCCCACCTCTTATGTTTCGAAGATCCGTGTTTGCTCTGCTCCTATTTTGTATTGTTTAATGGCCTTTTGAGCTTGAATATTGCTTGTAATCTCCATATATTTCATTTGCAAAACCAAATTTCAGATCAGAATAATATTTTGTACACATATACAGGGTGTCCCAAAACATACGTTACACATTTAATCATCTATAACTTTATCAAATCACAAGCATTCACAGAGATATTTTGTCAATATCTAGTGTATTAGCATACATTTTATCTGACAAACTGTCATGAAATTCTGTGAAAAATTAAGGTAATTATAATATCCAAATGACGTCATCATATTTTTAATATGGAACCTTCATGTGAACAGCTGATAGAAATTGTCAAACTTTAAATATGGGTGTAAATCTGCTACTTTAGTCATTAGAAGCATTAGCAAACAACATCCTGTAATGAAAGTGCCCAACAGAATACTAATTGACAGATTCGTGATGAAGTTTGAAGTTAAAGGCACCATAATTGACACATGACTTAATTCTTAGAAGACCAAAGAGTGCCCGTACCAAAGTGAACATTAACAGATTACCATTAATTGAGTTATTACTCTACAGAAACTTTATTTTAACAAATCTCTTAGACGGACCCTGCATGAACAAGATAGCACCTTTTGTAAATCTAGCTTTCATACAATACTCGAATTCAATTCAAATAAGATAATTGTAATGCAGCATTTGAACGAGACAGAAATTAGAAGTTATTTAGGGTTGGCCCATACGATTTTAATTAGACCCGACTCTGAAAATTTAACAGATGCATCGTTTTCCGATTAAGCCCAACTTCCATTTAAACAATATGGTAAAAGAGAATCTTAAATTCTAGTGTTTAGTCAAACCCATCTTTAATGTTGAAAAACCTCTAAACTGTTAGAATGTTACATTAAAAACTTGGTAAAAAAAACTTCAGAAATCGTGTTCAAACAATGTTAATTCCAGTGGACATAATTTGGAGCATGCTGTAAAATGACCTATGTTATTCTAATGAAAAAATATTGATGATTAATAAGAAAACTGTGAAAATTGTATGCTTGACAAAAAATGTATAATAATTTTAGTATATATTCAAAATTTCATTAATTTAACTTGAGGCATTAAATCTTTATAACGATTTAAAAGTGAAACATATGTTTTGGGACACCCTGTAGTCATAGACAGGTTCTATATATAGCACATTTTTCATGTTTTGGATCATGATTATGGCGTCACAGAATGAAAATGATGTCAATATGTTGTTGACTTGTGACAAAAAAGATTCACACAGTCTTATTCGAGCAGGGAACGACTGTAAAGTTTAAGATATAACTTGGAAATTTCTTTGAAGTAGCATGTCATAATATTTACAAGGTTACTGCAGAGAAATAACTTTCCAGAAGTCCAATCATTAATTGGATTGCTTGTTTTAAGTTAAGGACAGATGATACAAACAAATGTTTTCTTTGAAAAAGATTTGATATCATGTCACAAGTTAAGGAAAGTGGATGGTTCTTCAAATTTTTTTCTCCTAAGAACTGCAATATGAAAAAGACTTGGAAAATATTATTAATATTTCAATGAAAAAACAAATATAGAAAAATCACATTCAGTAAAGGTTTACAGGTGAAAATAAATTTCAGAATATGTTAACATGGTGCTAAAAGTGTAATATAAATGTAAGAAAAATATACCAAGCCAGGTGAATTTTATTAGGAAAAACTAAATGGTTAAAATCAACCTATGCGATATTGCTAATTTTTTGTCATTTTGATTTTCCTCTTAATATCACCCGGTTTGGTATTCAAACCCGGATCCCCAAGGGGCTCTTTTTCAAAGAAAAAAAAATGCTTGTATCATCTGTCCTTACATCTTCGCTAGTCAAGGGTTTCCGATCCGAGAGTAGGTATCGGATCGGAAACCCTTGGCTAGCGAAGATGCTGTCCTTAAGGACGGGAGAATGAAATTGATGTTTGTTCTAATATCCAATAAAAGCAAGCTGAGGAAGAGATCTGTCTTTAGTAGAGCAATTTGTCGTGAAAGATTGCAAAGCTAGAGTTGGAAAAATAGTTGCATATCTTAACAATGATGGTATTATCAAATCCCTAAAATGTTGTTTACTTTAGACTTTACTTTAGCATATCATATATAATTGAAAGAATGCCACCATTTTATGTCAATATTATAAGTAGATAAAGAAGGTTCCAAAGACAGAAGAATTGGGTTGGGATGGTCACCATGCTCTTATTTGGAAAAGCTATCCTAATCAACCCATATCATTACCAAGAATCGGCCATTTCGGGAAAATGGACTGTTCTTGTTATAAAACAAATAACTTTTATGATAAGAAATAAAAGGATCGGAAAACATTTAAGCTTTGATGAACTGAAAGCTACGTAGCATATCAAGTGATTGTCTGGATCACGTGGTTGATGCATTGACAGAACAACGGAAAATGTGCATTAAAATTTTGAGAGGACTTCTTTAAACAAAATAATGAACACCAAAACCTAATTTTCAAAGTTCTGTAAAAGTTATTCAATTAGTTAACAAAATTTTAGGTCTGACACCCCTCGTACTTCGTAAAAATAAATATATATTTTTTTAATTCTATAAAAGAAAGGCATAAAAGTGTGAAACACTTTATGCCTTTCTTTTTAGGGGTGTTTTACAGTTTTATTCAGTTTGTGAGTACAACGGCATGAATTTATGCAACGATAAATTCTGAAAAGAGAACATTGAAATCCTATATAAAACGTTTTAATATAATCCTATATAAAGCTATAATAGATACGCATCATGCATAACCTTCAGACGTGTTATCTAAAAGAAAATACTTACAAATGGAATTTCACAATTCTTGCATTAATTGATTTTTTATGATTTGTTTTCTCGTTTACAGATGAAAATTGGAAGCATGATACAAATGGCCTCATTGCAGCCCTTGTAGTTTCTTTGATAATGTTAGTTGTTTTTATAATTCTCTTTATACGTGCAAAATGCTCAAAAAATTCTCAGGGCTATAAAATATTTTAGCGATTAACTTGAGTATTGTCAAAAATAATATCATATAAGTTGTTGTTATCGTTAATCTATTGATGTCAAAAAAGAAATATAATTGTCATAGCAACATCAATCCCCTACTGACAAGAGAACCCCCCCCCCCAAATAATAAATAATAAAAACCTGGAAATGTTGTGATTCAAAAAAATCATTGATGTGGAATGAAATTCAAAACTTTATTTTTAAAGTAATACATGCTATATGAACGCCAAATTTTGTGTGAAACAAAATGATTAATGATTTGAAACACTTGAAGTGTAATGAAAAAATAATACTTTCCACAACAGTTATCAATAAAAGGTTTAAAATATGTGTCATAACAAAGCAGATGGTTAATACTGATTTCATATAAAGATAAGTATCATTAAGAGTAAGACACTTGCCATCCACGTCAAATGTGAGTAGTATCTCGGCCTACTTTTTTTCTTCACGCCATGTTTTTTTAATCAATCACGTGATGGATTTCTTTAAAAATAGCCATTTCTCTCCTAGCAGGGTTATAAATAATTATAATTTGTTACATTTATAATGCGTTTGATTTTAATGGTGTAATTTACAGTATTTTCGTAACTTTTATTGATAATCAAAATATATAAATTTCCAGTCTTATTTAAACTGGTGCAAGTTATAGCGTGTATGCTTTTAACCTATTAAGGTTAATCGCAAACCAAAAAATATTTCAATATGTGCAAGGTTTAAAAAAAGTGAGGAAACCTAAGTGGCACAAAAGGAAAGACGGACAGAGGGACAGCTACATATTCAGAGAAAACTAAATATTATACTAGTAGTCTTCTTCGGTTTCACCGGTAAGGGTACTAACTATAAAACCATATTACCTACCAAAAAACTCCGTAATTGTATATTTTGAAGTCATAATAAGATGACATTGAGGACTGAAAGACTGTTAATAACTAATGTACCGTATATTTATCTTCCCTGTTTTGCTTTCGCTGCATGAGAGTAAGACATCGGATGTTGTGAAGAATGACGTCACAATGCCGCTGCACGCGCACTTACCCCCATCATTGAATACGGCTTCAAATCCAGTGAAAATGTTGTGTTACGGACTTTTTTGTTTGCATAGGTTTTATTAAGGAATGACTCTTAAACTTGGCCAAAATTTTTCGATATAACCTGGTTTGGGTCAGTTTACGCTTTATAATCCGCGAAAAAAGCGTAAACTGACCTAAATCATGATATACTCGAATAATTAGGCCAAGAATTAGAGTCATTCCTTATAATTTAATTTTGAAATAATTAAACAACTGTGGATGTAAAATTGTGTTGCTTTTCATGAGTTTGTATTTGCCGCTCAATAATACAACCCCTAGTCACGGAAGTGATGGGAAGCAAGGGGAGGTACTGATATATTGACCTAGCAGCCATTATGTTTGTTTACATGGGGTAAGATCGAGCTACTGTTTTTAAGGGTACATTTTTAAATCTGATATTTTTTTTATGAATTCCGAGGACTAGGAATGAGGGGAATGTATGGATACATATGATTCAGCTGGTTGTCAAGGGGATGTGTCCCCATATTAAACCAGATTATCACAGAATAATTTGCGTTCCTTTTCGGAGATCAACCAATGAGGGGCTAGAATACATACAAAATTAAATTATTAGGGACTATTTGTAGTTTCGAATTTTACTTATATGAAATGTTTATATCACGATTTTAATATTGCTTTTTTGTCAACATCTAATGTAATGGATTTTCGTTCTCCTCTGAAAACCAACCATTATATGCCCTCTGAACAATTTTGTAACTACATTTGTGTACCGATAATTGTCAGTGTATGCATGAATTTGTGTCTGTGAGTAGAAATACATTTCAAAATACATTTTATACAGAATTAAAGAGATTTATGTGTACATGTATGTATCTGCTATGTATATATGCAATGTTAATAAAAATATTCTAATTTTTGACAGTATATTGTTCTTTTCAAGTTGCCTATAAATGGCTTCGGAGTCATAGACACATCAATAAAAAGGAGGATCAGTAGAGAAAATAGGTCGCATGCATAGCTTGTCGTGCATATACATGTTAGTAAGTAACAGAATATCATTTTTTCTTTATTGATTTCAAGCTTGTTTCACATGGTATTAATCTTTTTAAATTTCATGTTTAGAATCTAAGGGGGGAGAGGTGTTTTCAAACTTTGCAGATTTATACCGGTGTAAAGACGAATAATGACCCCTATCGAATAATGACCGGTGGTTATTTTTCGACAGCGAAAAATGACCCCCGGTCAAAATTCAACGTCGAAAAATGACCCCCGATCATTATTCGACGTAGAAAAATGACCTTTTTGCCGGTAGAAAAAGTAGCACCACCCTTCAAATTTGCAGAACCCAAGTGAAGAAAAATGACCCCCGTAGAAAAATGACTCCCTGTGGATTAAAGCTAAATTTTTTCGGGGGCAAAAAAAATAGATAAAGAAGCATATTGGCCGAAATGCTCACCTGAGCTTATCTGAAATAAATTGATGATATGTTGATCTTATAACATACGATTATAGCTATATTTTAAGGTCAATGCGATGATTCAGAATCTATAGGAGTAAAGATTTATCGAGCCTAAAGGGTTAGGTAAACATTGTTTTTCGATGGTGGAAATCATCGTACTGACAGAAAAAATCAACAGTATCATGTATTATTAAAACTTCCGCTTGAAAAGCGGGAGGATATATAGTGATCAGGATGTCCGTCCGTTCGTCTGTTACGCTTTGGGGTATCCATCTGTTATCCGCAACAGCTCTTGTATATAAAAAGATGTGTTTGTAAAACAACTATGCCCCTGTATGGCAACATAGCGAAGTTTAAACTTTTCTTAAATGCAATTTAAATATAATGATACCCAAAGTAGGGTCTTCTCACAAGAAATACAATTGCAAAATAGGAAGAAAGCCCTAGGACCACTTGTTCAAAACTAATGGCTAAGGATAAGTTTTTGAAAGGTAGGTCAAACTCAAAGGTCAAAGGGTCAAAGTTGATGGTTTCTTAAGAAAGGTTTAATGTTACAAGGATTACATCTGTGAAGTATGAGAGTACTTATGTATAGTATTTACCGTTTAAAGGTTATAGCCAAAGTAAATTAAAAAATTGGCATTTTTTTGTAGAATTGGACAAACTCCAACGTAAAGGTCAAAAGGTCAAATTTGGTGGTACCCAAAGTAAGGTCTTGTAACAAGGAATATACACATATTGAATATGAAAGGCATAGCTACAATAAATGAAAAGTGATGGTCAAGGTTAAAGTTTTTGCGGAGAAACAGACCGCCAGATAGACAGACAGACATACAGACGGACACGATAAAACTATATACCTATATAAAAAGAAATGATCTTCAATTAACTTTTCATATAATGATACAGTATATAGAAGACGTTACAAAAATGAAAATGTTTGTTCTGATTTTCATATTAAGTCCTCTGAAAAATATACTCAGAACTGGGTAAAAGGGTGGAGTAAAACAAGAATTAAGAAATGTAATTAATACTGTGTGCTAAATCAAAAGGTTATGTCTACATGTATAGTTTTTGCATTAGAATGTGTATTATGTAACACTAGCCCATAGCTTTACATAGCATATTTTTAGGTGTTATACCCATCCCATCCCCTTAACTTATTTAGGAGGAAGTCGATTATCAACAAAAGCAAAAAAAAAAAAAAAAATAAATAAATAACCTACCTTTATTTTTCTATAAGGAGGGACTAAAAATAAGCTGAAAATAATTTACTATTCAACTAATTTTCAACTGTTACTTTGCCACAATTCTTTCAAGTATACCTCCACCAACATTTAAAGTATGCTTTAATCATGGCGAAGTAAATTTTGATATGATAGAAGTTGTGTGAAGGCTTAACTTCATTTCAATATTTTATCTAGAGCCTATTTCAATATTATTGAAAGGTACAGAGTTTTATTTATATTTTTTGCTTTTCATTTATTATTATTATTTTTTTTTTTTGATTAAACGTATTTTTTTTTGGGGGGGGGGGTGTTAATATTTCCTCCTCTTTCATTGTCAAATAGGATTTGCCAAACTTATACAAGCTAAAAGTTGAAATGAAAGAAAAATTAATTTTTTCTATCAAAGAGTTTTGGAACCTGATTGTTTCATGGTTTGATTTCTAAAAACAAGTGGAATATCATTCGTTAAGCAAACACTATAAGGAGGAATATTAAAAAGAAATTTTATTTACCTGACAATTAGAGAATCTCTTTTCACTTTAAAGGGGGTCATTTTTCAATGGGGTTCAATTTCTTATAGGGCTAACATATAAAATAATGACCCCTAGGACACTTTTTCTACAAAAAATGACTTTTTTCTACGGGTAGGGGGTCATTTTTTGTCGTTGAAAAATGACCCTACTAAAGGTGAAAAATGACCCAACTAAAGGTGACCTTGGATTCTCCTACGAAACGCAGACCCTCCCTTGAGAATGTGGTAATGTATATATTTCTAGATTGACAAAGGGGTTAACTTTTTTCTGCTTGTCAAGATATTTTGGAGTTAAATGGTTTTTACTAGGGTGGACTCAATCCCCCCTCCCCCTGGAATAAAGTCTGCGCCTAAAATCCTGAAAATCACATATTTTTCCAGTGACCTGGGGCTCGTAACATAAAGCTTGCTAAGTTTTTGACTTAAGAAGGGTCATAAGTATGGTTTAGGCACAATCTTAGGATCTTTCTAAGTATTACTTAGGTATGTCCTAAACCGTAACATAAAGCGAACTAAGCTAGGTCCTGGCTAAGTCGGACTAATTTTAAAAATATTTCATATGAGTCAACCTATAGTTTTTTATTTTATATAGTTACGTTACTAAATGTGATTCAGTTAGGGTTTTAATTAATTACATATTAAAGTTGACGTCCTTACCTATAGGTTTAAGTTTTGTTAGATTAGATTTCGTATTAAAATTATAATTATGTTATAAACTATTCGGAATATTAGAAAACAAATACCGCAAGGTCAGAAAGTGGCGATTTGTGGTTCATTGTAAATATTCACGACAATTGTTTATCACCTGAGATGTTTTCAGTTTACCTTTTGTATCTCTTTTGTTTTGACAAATGTTTACTTACCCTGTTATTATCGCAGACAAGAAAATATAATCGACCGCCTATTCACTCGAAATTGAAACTCTAAAAAGTTCAATACATTTTGAATCCCCGCTATGTGTAAGGCCATGCAGGTCAGAAGCAAAAAAATGAAAAAGTTTTATGATATACTCATTTGCCATATAATCAATGATGCAAAAAAAAAAAAAAAAAATCGGGATGTCTTCACTTATCAACATCTCTCTCTCTCTCTCTCTAGAAATGTAGTGAGCCCTGTCTAAATCCGCGCTGGTCGCGTTCTACATTTATTCTATACTTCAAACAGATACTTTTTATTACTGTTATAGTCATCATCCCTTTTCTTTTCTGTTTTTAACAAATTATTTCAACTCATATTTTCAAAGTGAACATACAGATCCATGATTTATTGCTTTGTATAATTTATAACTACCGGTATAACCGAGTTCCCACTTATTTCAGACGTACCCCTAAAATTAAATTTTGTGTTTACTTATATGCTGTGTATTGAGTGAAATTGGAATCAGTGATCAGCCCCCCCCCCCCCCCCCACGAAAAAATAAAAAAATTCTTAAATTAGCGTCAAATAGAGATAATTGATTTCTTTAATGCACTATATGAATAGAGGAATCTTTTAACATCGATAATTCTAAATATATGTACAAGAAAGTTAAGATATACTTAAGTCACCTCTACCGACCGCCTAGGTTTTGATAAGATTGACAGAGCTAAGTACGCTTCTAGTTACGGTCTTAAGTTTTAGACTGTACTTAAGTCCTACTTAAGCACGGTCTTAGACTTGAGTAACCTTTATGTTACGACCCCCAGTAGTCTGCTTTTATGATTAAGCATTCTTGCAGTGTTAATTTATCTCGGAGTGCACTTGTTCTTAAATTTAATCGAAGCGCTCAACATCAGCATGTATGCAGCATAATAAACATGAATGGTAGTGTCCATCTAAAAACATAATTTTCATCCAAGGGGTTATAAAAGGAATCTACCTGATTAATCCGCGGGTAGTAAAATACGGTACTTTCTAAGACTCTCACTATATGACGAACATGTATTTTTTTTAGTAAGATAGGACAAGTTTCCGTGAAAAACGTGACCCGCAGCGTACATAGCGTTCATATTTACAACCGGTATACTTCTACAGTATCTACACAAGAATAGTATAGATAGGTCATCTAGCATTTCTGAAATAAAATTCAAACCAGACCAAAGCTGTCAGAAAGCAGTTAAAGGACTGTCCTGTTCCAGTCTTAGAGCAGTTCAATAATGACAAGAGCAGTGTACCGCAGTCGTGTTACAGGCCTCGGGCAACAATTCCCCATGTACTCTCTATTCTCTTCACAGACCTTCATGTTTTGATTCTGGAAAACGTGTAAAATGCATGCAAAATCCGTGACAGTCAAAACTTCAATTAAGATTTCTTCTGAAATATGTTTGATTATAGGCGAAAGTATGTCAATATTTTTAAACAAAATGGAATGAGGTCTTTCCACGTACTTCGAGATAACAGTTAGAATGTTTACATCGTAGTCATGAAATAAGTGTTTTCTGTGTACTGTATCATACGTTCTAGTTTCTTTATTGACTAAGCATACCTAACAACACAGTGTATATGGTATATCTTCGGTCTACTCTAGACTGATTCTGCTAAGATGGCCCTCATTTTATTCAAAAACATTTACCTGATTTTGTAGGATTATTGGTCACTATATTGGAAAATTTAAAATATTTTATGGCATGATCATTATTGCAAAGGGAAAGACAATTCTTTAGATTGAAATTACATCGCAAAATGATACAACATTAAAGCAGGTTATTTTTAATAATA